GTGTGGAACTGCAAGAATAAAACCGCAGTGATGATTAACAAGGCTGGAGCTGTCACTACAATACTAATCACAGGTACACTGCTACAATAAAAACATTCACACTAGTTGTTTTTTGTCAGAACAGCAGGAAGTTCATGTCATCAAACTGATAAAGATAAAAGTTGCGTGAAAAACTCGTTAACTAAAATAAAATAAAGCTGTTCTCATTAGAATCTTTTTGATCCAGATATCTTAAAACAAATAGACCCAAGAACTGTTTTTAACTTTTGTAATGGACCAGATTTAAAATGGCCAACATGTTTAATTTACCACAGCAATCACAAAAATGTAAACATCTCATTACAGATATTGAACTAAAATACAATAACAGTATCTAGGAGTCATCCCCAACACAGACTGAGAGCTAACAAATGTAGCACTACCAGTTTAGATTTGCATTATTTTATTTTCAAGTTTTAACCAAAATGGCTGTTATTCATTTTGTTTCGTGACAAAAGAAGAAACTGCCATGAAAGCCGGCGGGTGACAAGCATTCCTTCAAGGAGCTGCAGGACTTTTTTTTAGTAAGTTTTACTAAAAAGGTTGGTGCTTCTCGAACTTTTTTTGTCTGAAAAACAAAACCACTGCAGGTTAGTGACGGAGAGCGTCATCTGGAATCAACGACCGCTGAACAGGAAGTTCCCTCCGTTTACATTGGACATAATGTCAGCTGGCACATCACGCACGCACGCACGCACGCACGCACGCACGCACACACACACACACACACACACACACACACATATATATATACACACACACACACACACACACATATATATATACACACACACACACACAGAGGAGTTTGCAGAGTGGAACACGAGCTAGCTGCAGATCAATTTCTAACTTCAACTCTGATTTCTGCTCGATCCAAGCGGTGCACAAAGAGCTGCAGGCAGAGGTGAAATAACAGATTTCGAACAAATCAGGAGGTGAGATGGTTATTCCTCTTCTTCAGTTTGGGATATTAAACCTTGATATTGTATTTGGTTTTTCCTGTTCAACTTCTGGACTGTCAGAAAAACTCAATTTTTCTGCAAGTCAAAAATTTACTGAAAATTACCATGGCTTCAAAAGAAATCTCTGAGCTGCGTTACGAAGTCTGGAGTGAAGAGAAGTTCAAAGCAGGCTGGAAATGAGCAGCTTCATATGAAGACAGGTTTACACGCCGCGCAGTCATTCTGCTGCAGAGTTTACAGTCTGACGTTTCAAATGAAAAGCTAAAATCACAGAGGCTTTTACACAGACAAGCTTATAATAAGGACACTGATCATCACAAGACACCAACTGAAACAAACAGAAACGAGCAGCAACAAACGACTAAAAGTTTAAACTCCAAACTGAAAGGTTTCAGTTAGACTCATTTACTGTAGGATGCTGAATATAATTCAAATAATTTTTTTGTTTGTGTTATAATGAATTTATCTTGCCTTAGAGCATTCAAACTAAAAAGGTGATTTGAATTTGTTTAGGTTGTTAAAAGAGTTATTTTTATTTTAAATCAAACTTCCCACAGAAATACACAGAGATCCCTTCGATTTCTTTAAAATCAATCAAATTTGTTTCAGCTACTGGCTCTGCTTTGGTTTGCTTATGACACCTTTAGCTTTTAAATAGCCTTTTGATGCTTTTAGGTTTTAGCTAACATTCTGATAGTTTTAGCTTGAAGCTACCACTTTGCTACCTTTAGCTTTTAGGTGCCTTTTTGCTACTTTTGGTAAATCTTTTAGGACTATTAGCTTTTAGGCAGCCTTCTATTGCGTTTAGATTTTGGCTAACGTTTAGATACAGCCCTTTGCTACTTTCAGCACACCTTCTGAATTTAAGTAGCCGTTTGCCACATTTAGCTTCTAACTAATCTTTTGCTATTTACAGCTAGCCTTTTGCAACTTCTCACCAACGTTTTGCACCTTTAAGCATTTACTGTGTGCTTTGCTTCCTTTAGCCTTAAGCTAGTTTTCTACTTCCTTTAGCCTGTGGCTAGCGCTCTGTTTTTTTAAGTTTTACTATCTCAGTTTCAGCTCCTTCAGCAGAATTTCTGTCTCTTTTTTTTCAGAATATATTTGGCAGAAGAACGTAGTTTCTGTGTTTCTTTGATGATGTGTTTCAGTCGAACAAAGCTTGTTCTGAGCCGTCGATGAGGATTACTAAATGTTTAACTAGAGCTGAAAAAAATGAATCTAATTTAGAACGTCCTCGAACAGAACTGCATGAAGAGGCTGTTGAAGAGCCACGGGCTGGTTCTGGTTGGGATCCGTTTCCTTTCAGACAGGAGTTGTGAGAGCAGAGCAGTGAAATCCCTCCGACCTCGCTGCCTCACGTTACAGTCAGAGCCCGGGAAGATAACAACCAATGGGACTTCCAAATGCATCAGCATCAAAAAGCCATTTAATCATCACTCTGTTTTCACTCCCTCGCTCCTCTTCCTCTTCCATCCAGCCTCCGTTTCGTGCCAAATACCATTTCCCGTCTCCGGGGAGGAGGAAGCATTTAATAAAACTCCTCTAATCGAGTTCTGCGGCAAAGAGCTGCGAGTCCCCGGCCCGCTCACCATCCCAAAAACTCCCACTTCTTCTCCCAAGCCCCAGATTAACACAACTCTGTAGTTTCTGATGAAAAATAAAACATTTCAGCATCAATCCCCGTGTTTGTAGGAAATACTGCAGTTTTACGAGTCTTTTTGTTTCCGGGCCTGACAGCTTCAGTTGTTGAGGACCGGAGCAGAACACGTAAAAAAAAAAGAAACTAAAATCAAATCTGACTAATTAACAGATCAGCTGAAGCAGGAGCCGCTCGGTCGGCAGATAAAAAATGAAAACCGTGCATCAAGCCTGAGCATTAGGGAGTTAATTATTCACTCGTTTTGCCATGTTTTAATAAAAGTATTTTAAGATGACTCCTTTAAACCAGAAGAAGGTGGAGACATCTGAAGCCGCTCTGATGTTTTGGTGCGTTTTTCCTTCTCTAACTTTCATTTCTTTTATAAAATGAAACGCTCTGACTGGAAGAACTCGTGTTAAACAGACGTTTTTATGACGAACTCAGCTCCCTAATTACGCCTCGCCTTTATTCTGTTTCTGTCAGGATGTTTGCAGTGGTGGGCACGATTCCTTGAACTTTGAAAACCTGTATGGGAATTAGCTTCCGCTAAAATGAAATCTGGAAATTTCAAGTCCAGTATTTATATTTTTTTAAACGGTTCTCTGCAATAAAAGCGAACAGGAGAACGGTGAGTTACACGGAGCGATGCTACACTACGCAGAGCTAAACAAAGTTAAGCACAGCCCGGTGACATCACCACTCTCGCAGTGCTTTACCCCCTCATATCTACGATAAACAGTCTCTGACTCCTGGCGTCAGTTTACAGCCGATAACAGAGACTTTAACATAAATGAAGCTGGACCAGAACAGGAAAATAACATGAAAAAACAATTTTCACACTCAGAAACATCATAAACAGTCAAACACTGCACACATAATTATTACCCAACATGCTTTGCAAAATTCATATCGTTACTGGGACGTGACTCTCTCACACATTTCACTCATCTTTAATGCAAACAGATTTATTACAGAGAGAATATTGATGATGACGCACAGCATCTTTATATAGTTTATAAAAGTATGCATGCATCAGGCTTTAATTCTGAATACAAGTACCGACATGCACAGAGTGGTAAACTTTCCTTTAAAAACCACAGAAGAAGTTCTACTTCAGTTTTACTTCCATGACAAACGTAAACAAACTGAGCGCCCAAAATGGATCCGTGCCAAGTTGTAATGATGCTGGAGACATTACTGCACTCCCTCACTGAGCTACAGGTAATACAGATCATTTTGAGCTCTGTCAAAGTTTCTAGTAGAAATGTTCTGTCATACACAGACCAGTTTATGCCGCATGTTTATGAACTCACAGCCGATATTGACCAGAACTTTGTCAGTACTTCATGCAAACATGTCAAAGTGGTTCCAAGTGAATATTTGCATATTTATTCTCCGACCCATCCCCAGTCGAAAGCATCACGCCGTCATATATAAACCTATTTGCATCACATCGAGAAACTGAAGACCTGAGTCCAGTTTCACGTAGCAACACTTGGGAGTGACACCACACCAACATGAGTTGTTGTCTCATGGGGTGCAGAAGAAAATCGATTTATTAAAGAATCTAGATTCTTAGTCCTGGCGGTTCTGAATCGATTAAGGCCCATAAATCGATTTTAAAATGCGGTTAAGTTTTGTTTTTTCCGCTCCTACTTCCGAGCGTACTGCATATCGCATTACGTGTCCTCTCAGCCGCCGTAGAAATGGGCCTTCCAGGCCACCGTACAGCAAGATAGTTAGCCAGCTCCCTTTATCTGAACGGCGTCTGTTAGCATGGAGCAGGAGGACATGATTCAACTCGCTCCTCCTTCTTTAAAAAGCATTTCAGATCCTACAATGTTCCGAGGAACACAGAGCAAGTTACAGAATTTTATGCACTCCTATTCCTATTTTTGTTATAAATATAAAATGATGCAAAAAGATTTGATACAGTGAGGAACCTAAAATCACTGTTTTAAATAAGTGTTCTATTTGTTTACATTGTTTTTTTTTATCTTTTCATCTCGTCAATTACATAATTTACACAAAATGTATGACCATTTCAATAGAAAAATCGTTTCTGAATCGAAAAATTGGTTTAGAATCGAATCGTGACACCAAAAATCGGAATTGAATCGACAGACACTGCTGTGAAACCCCTGAAACATCCGTCTTCCTGCTTCTGGTCCCGTCTGACGGTTTATTATAGCGGCCTGAAATCCACAAGATCAATCAGAGACACAAAAATACAACAAAAGACCCCCCCCCCCCCCCAAAAAAAAAAAAACAGAACTCATCAAAAACCTAAAGGACAAACTAAAAGCCCCGCTTGTGATGAACCCTCCTGCTGCCCAGAAGGCGTCAGTATTAAGACTCATTTGACCCCAGGGCAGCAGGAGGTTTTCAACTTTCAACTGAAAAACGGTTCTGAAACGATACGGACCCAATGTTGATTAAAGTGTAATTAAAACGAGGTCTGACATGTTTAGAGTGAAGTTTTCTTTTTAAAGATAAAGATCGCCAAGAGCTTGTTAGAGCTGAAGCTTAGCTTCTGATCTTTCGCCAACACACTTCATCAGTAATATTTTTATGACTCCCTAGAGTGGAGGCGGGGGTCAAAGGTCAAACGGAGCAGCAGAGACTCACCGTCTTACACGGACTTTAGCAGCGGGGAGCGGGGGTTGTTTATCGTTGCTGTCAGCGCGCTCAGAACGATTCGACGTCATAAAATCAAATAAAACGTGTTGCATGAAGACGTTTTGCTGCTAAATATGTCGTGAGGCAACAAACCCCCACGTTCATCCTCCAACACGCTCACGTCCGTCAGGAGAAATGTTAAAATAAGTCGGAAGGGATTTTGTGTTTCAGGACAGGAATGAACGCTCCAAACAGAACTGGACCCAGGCACACCCAAGCGCGGTCTTCACGTAGAAAAAGAGAAACATTTTCTTTCTGTTAGCGATCACTGAAGAACTGAATCTGTCATAAAAACACGACATCTTGTGGAAAAAGTTCCTCTGAAGAAGTTCAGACTGAAAACATTAAAAGTGACTGATCCGTGTGCATAATGCAACCAGCTGATAAAAATTTTAACGCGATTCAAATATTAATTCTTGTGGTCAGAATGTAAAATACAAGCCATCAGCTGGGAGTGGGGGTGTCTTTAAAGCTTTATTACGCAGCTAAATGTGTGCGGTGTCGGTCATTCATGCAGAGCAGCTGAACATCTGTTGGATCAGGGAAGAGGAGGTTTTTACAAAAGTCAAACCCAGGATGTTCCAGCGGTCCTGATAAAACCTCTGCCTGCAGCAGCTGCTGCGACAAACCGTTTCAGGTTTTAAAAAAGGGATTTCTAATTTTTTATCATCACATAATATAATGTAAGCTTTCATTAGTCAGTAAAGTCGTATTTGGGGTGGAAAGCCCTGAAAGTCTGAGTAAGTTTGAAGCTTCACTCAGTTCAACAGCTGGAAGGTGAGTTTGGACAGAGGGACACATGAAGACATCCTCCAGGTTGTCCAACAACAATCTCCTGATACAATCTGGTTGTTCCACAGCCTTTAAAAGAAGAAGGCAACAAATCTCCACAAAAATGTACTTTAAGTATACTGCACTATATCTAACGTTTACTATAAACAAATGTTTTCAGTCGGCCATCTTGTGGACTGCTTGGGGTTTCAGACTTTCAGGAGCTGCTGGAGAGGAACTTCCTTGTTCTTCTAATCAGACTTGACAAGAAGAGAGGCACTCGCAGCGTATTTAAGGCTCAGGCATTAAAGATGAAAAAAATATTGACTTAGTGACAGCTAAAGCTTGCATGTGAACAGCTAGTTCTGGATGTCATCAGCAAACTGGTTGATCCACTATGAGAAGGTGCTGCTTATAAGACTTGAGTTTGTTGCAGCTCCTCAGACTGATGAAGTCTTTAGGATAAAAAACGAAACGTTTCAACAAAGAAGAATCCGTCCAGAGGACCTGACTCTACCTGGTTAGATACACAACACAATTTGTACATGACCTTAGTAAAAGTACAGTATTGCAAGTGGAGGAGCGCAATGAGCCATGCAGAGGTGTGAACCACCAGGTAGGACCGTGATACATCGTGGAGAGGCATGATACTGTACGTTTTGTAGGGCCATGATATATCTTGGAAAGGTGCAATACTCTATGGACGTGTGATACACCGCGTAGGTGCGTCATTCACCGCGGAGGGGCGTCATTCACCGGGTAGGTGCGTCATTCACCGCGTAGGTGCGTCATTCACCGCGGAGGGGCGTCATTCACCGCGGAGGGGCGTCATTCACCGGGTAGGTGCGTCATTCACCGCGTAGGGGCGTCATTCACCGCGTAGGGGCGTCATTCACCG